TGGACCCTTAGTCAGGAGAACTAAGGTTCCAATCCCACCCTTCCAATCCCACTTACTACATGTGGGGGCAAGTGACAACCTCTTTAGGCCTCAGGTAAACTCTTTAAGAGCATAAATTTTAGGGGGCAGCTAGGTGGCTCAGTGGATAGAGCACTGGCCCTGGGGTGAGGGACCTGAGTTCAAATCCAGTCTCAGACACTTGACACTTACTAGCTGTGTGACCCTGGGCAAGGCACTTAACCCCATTGCTTAACCAAAAAAATAAAATTTTATACATGTATATATGTGTATATATATATATATATATATATGTGTGTGTATATATATATATAAACTTTAGCCAGGTTGCAATCTTAGTGCCTTCCCTCTGAGATTACCCCAATTTATTTTGTATACATCTTGTCGTACATAGTTTGTGTGTTTTTCCCCCATCAGAGGACTTTTTTAACCTTTCTTTATATATACACACACGCATACATACATACATGTATGTGTGTATATGTTATGTGTATGTGTGTATGTATATAACCTTTCTTTATATCCTCAGAGTTTTTTTTTTAGCACAGTGCCTGGCACACAGTAGGTGCTTAATGAATTGGCTGACCGATAGACATTTCTACAGTGCCTTAAGATTCCAAAGTGCTTTACAAAGTGCTCATGTGAGCCTCAAAGCAGCCCTGTGAGAGATAATATGGATTTTCATCAAAGCAGCTCTATAAGAGAGATATGATGGGTTTTGAGAGCTCCTTTTCACAGGCGAAGAAGCTGCGATTGAGAGATGTTCAGAGGCTTGCCTATAGCCAGGGTCAGAATCTGAATTCAAACCTGGATCTCTGCTGGAGATCCCCGGATCTCTTTCCACTATATTGTGCTAAGTCTTAATATATTATCCAAGGTACAAAACTTAGAGAATGAGGGATTTCTGCTCTCACGGGTAACAGGAAGGGAGCAGCAGCCACACATAAAATGTAAGTGTAAGCTTTGTGACGATGGCTCCTTCCTCATGTGAGGAGCCCAGATACACTGAGTACCTCTTACAATTTTCTTTCTCATATGCCCTTATTCCAGTAAAACCTAGGAATGTCTATATCTTGTGTTCCCTGAAAGGTGATCATCAGCTCATTAATTGAGCTTTTTGTTTTTTGCATGGCATTGCTTTGAAGACTGGCCATTAGCTCCCTTTCCAGGCACTGAGACCAATAAGGTATAAAACGTAGACCAGATTTTAGATATACAATAAAGGCTGTATAGGGGATTCATTACTGAATCTATAGCTAGGCCAAAAACAAACGAACAAACTCTCCCCTTTCCAGTGGGCCTTTGATTCCCCCTAGGGACTTACACAGTTCTCAAGACTTACAGAACTGCCATGGATATGGGTCCCAGGGAGGGGTGGGGTCAAGGGGTTTTCCTCCATGTTAATTTCTGCTCTTCCTATTTGGTCCTTGATACGGCTTCACTCACTTGTTTTTCAGCTAATTTCTCTAGATTTGGCCTTCATCGCTCTGCAGTCACACACTTACTAGCTGTTTGACCCTGGGTAAGTCACTTTACCCAGTTTGCCTCAGTTTCCTCATCTGTCAAATGAGCTGAAGAAGGAAATGCAAACCACTCCAGTATCTTTGCCAAGAAAACCCCAAATGGAGTCACAAAGAGTTGGACACAACTGAAAATGACTCTGTAGTCAGTTCACAGCTCTGGCCCCTACCTCCCTGGCCTCTCTCCTCCCAGCCTTCCAGGTGCTCATTACTATGGCTTCCCCTTGCTTAGAGTTGGAACACTCTCTTCTATAGCCTCTTCTCTCCTCTAACAGTGCCACCACTTTGGTGCAGGTCCTCATCACCTTTTGGTGTGCCTCCCTGTTTCAAGTCTCTCCTCCCTCCTGTGCGTTTTCTTCTCTTCTACCCAAGTCATCTTCCTCAAGCACAAGCCTGACCGTGTCACTCCCCTAGTCAATCACCTCTAGGAACAAATGTAGAATCCTCTGCCTGGCATTTAAGCCCTTCATAACCTGGCCCCTTTCTATCTTTTCAGGATTCTTACACCTTACTCCCTTCCATGTACTCCATCATCCAGTGATAATATTGGCCTCCTTTGTTATTGTTCAGTTGTTTTCAGTTGTGTCTGATTCTTTGTGACCCTTTTTATTAGGGATTTTCTTGGCAAAGATATAGGAGTGTTTGTTCTATTCCTTATCTAGTTCATTTTAAAGATGAGGGAACTGAGGCAAACAGGGTGAAGTGACTTACTCAAGACACACAGCTAGGAAGTGTCTGAGACCAGATTTGAACTCAGGTCTTCCTGGCTCCAGGCCTAGTGGTCTATCCACTGTACCACCTAGCTGCCCCACTTTCACTAGGTGTTCACTAAACCTGGAATACTTTTCCTCTTCATCTCTGCTTCCACGCTTCCCTGGCTTCCTTCAAGTCTAGCTAAAGCCCCAGCTTAATGCAAGTCTTTCCTACTCCTTCTGAATGTTAGTGTTTTCCCTCAGAGATTATCTCCAGTTTACCCTTTTTATTTATTTTTTATTTATGTATTTGTTTATTTTTCAAGGCAATTGGGGTTAAGTGACTTGACCAGAGTCACACAGATAGTAAATGTTATGTGTCTGAGGCTAGATTTGAACTTAGGTCCTCTTGACCCCAAGGCCAGAGCTCTATCCGCTGTACCACCTAGCTGCCCCACCCTTTTTATATTTTGTTTGTACATGGGTATCTGCTTGTGGTTTCCCATTTTAGATTGTGAGCTCCTGAAGGGCTGGACTGTTTTTGCCTTTCTTTTATCCCTGGAGTTGAGCACAGTGCATGGCCCATAGAAAGTGCTTGATAAAGGCTTGTTGACTTGACTTCCCTAGCCTAGGACATTCTCCCTCCTTTCTCCATGAATTCAATGCCTGGCTCTCTGCTTCATCTCCTGCCTTCATACTTGGGAACTTCAACATGTTTGTTGATGTTCTTTCAAATTGTAACTTAGCAGGGCAGCTAGGTGGACCAGTAGATAGAGCTCTGGCCTCAGAGTCAGGAGGACCTGAGTTCAAATCTGGCCTCAGACACTTGACACTTACTAGCTGTGTGACCCTGCACAAGTTACTTAACCCTGATTGCCTAAAAAAAGAAATTGGTTTACAAATTGTAACTTACCCCTTCCCTAGTTGTTGAGGGCTTGCACTGATGGGTTTGAGGATATAGGCCAGGCCGGGTTTTACTTCCAGCCTGTTCTAAAATCTAAGAGCCACCTAAGTCAGAAAGTAGGCTGTCCGACCCCTCCACTGCACTGCCTTTCCCTTGAGAACAGAAGGACCTTGAAAGATAACTGGGAAGCGAGGAGATGACTTTGGGGGAACTCCCCTCAGTTACTGTTCCCATGAGAAAAATTATTGTTGATACTTCTGCCTTTTCCACTCTGGGTGCTGTTCCCATGAGTGGGGTACAAAAGTCTTAACTCTCAGATCGATAAACGGAACTGGTTCTGAACTAGTTACCCACTTGGCCCGTGTATCTCTTTATCTCTCTCATACTCGCCAGAGAATAAATACTGTCAGGGACACAAGTGCTCGAGACACCTAGTCTACTAAGTTCTCATGATTGACTTCTCCACTTCACCTCAACTACACACAGGGATGGCCACCCCCAAGGTCATCCCCCCCAAGTGTCCCCTTCCATGTTGAAGAAGACAATTTCCTTCATCTGATCCTAATTTTTTATCATCCCAGCTCTTCTAAATCTCTTCTTGGCCTCCTCATCATAACCTCCAGTCCTTCCTTCTTCAGTGTCTTCCCAGGCTATCACACCTGCTCTGGCTATATCTGTTCTTTCAAATCTGAGGAAGCTTTGGCCAGGGCAATCTTAGTGAATGAGGTCAACCCTATACTATTCTTTATTCTTGGATTCTTTGCTCCTCTGTCTCTCTGCCATTCAAACCTTTCCAAACCCAGCCCATCTGCTTCTGCAGCTCCTCCTCATGGAACTGGACAAAGGCATGGCACTGTACCAAGTGGATCTACTACAAAGATGTCACCCTAAGCCCCTCTGTGGAGGGCTCAAGTGGACCCTTGCTGCAGGAAGGTTACTCTTCCCTAACCAAATCCTCTATCCTACTCACCACAGCAGATATTCCAAACCTTGTGTTCTCCCTCTCACAACACACCCTACCCCTACTCTCTCAGCTGAGGACCTTACCTCATATACTTCATGGAAAAAAAAATTAAGACCCCTCTTCTTCCCTTCTCTTCTCACATTCCATGATATCATCTCTCACTATCTCTTCACTCCCATCTTGAATGAGGAAGTGGCCCTTCTCCTTGCCAAGGTCAGCCACTCTATAGGGACCCCTGATCTCATCCCCTCCCACTTCCCCAGAAGCTGCCCTCATTATCATCCCCCCTTAGTCTAGTCCTCAATCTCTCACTACTTGTTCCTTCCTTATACCCTTTTTGTTTTTCTCGTATTTTTGTAATTATGTCTAGGGCTTAACAAAAGTGTCCAGAGTAAGAGTAAGAGTACAGAGTAAGAGCTTGAAATATATTTGTTGATTGGGATTTCTTTCTAAGAGAGGTGGTCCACACATGTTGTTTAAATGGTTTGGGGGTGGTATGGATGGATGGATCATGAGGCCTGGCCTGCTTCAGCAAAATAGGGGCAAGGGGGGAGGGGAGGAGAGGTGAGGGGAAATATTCCCAAGAGTTTGTGAGACTGGGAGCATTTTCCTCCCGTCTCTGGTAAAGGTATGGGGCTAGATTTCTATCTATCTATTCCAATCAAATATGTTTGATCTAGGGATAGGGCTGTTTCAGAACAAAAGCTGTTTTCCTGGTTGCTCTTAAGGGGCAGGAATAGCCCTTAGGTCATACTCACTGGCCTATGTCCTTCCTACTGAATGATGGCTTTACAAAGGACAACTATAAATAGCAAATAGCAAATAAATCTATTTATCCAAGCAAAATATGAAACAAAAATTGAATTAGTTCCACAGTTATTCTAGAAAATATATAAAAGTGAATGAGTTCTTCAACTGAACCAAGAGAAAAGATGCAATCTCACCCAAGGAGGTCTCTTCTGGCAGTCTCTAGGGAGGCAATTAGAGACATGTCAATGAGCGGGCTTCCCCAACAGCATCTCTTTCCAATGCTGACCCATTTCCAATGCGTAGCATCCCTTCTGCACTCTCTTCACCAGTGAGGAGTCATGTGTCCCTTTGGACATAGCATGCAGCCCAGGCCTGCCCCTCCTCTCTCCACGTTGGGTGGGAGTCAGGTTATACCTGTTAACATGCCCAAAAAACTCTTACCTAAGAAATAAGAGATACACACAAACATAAAATAAAGATCAGGAGTAGAATTTATTAAGGGAAAAAAAGCAGGGGTAGTAATCATGATCTCAGACAAAGTTAAAGCTAAAATAGATTTAATCAAAAGAGAAAAATAGGAAACTATACTATATATCAGCTGCATTAATCAATATTGTTTTAGACTATTTAAAATAACTAGAGAGCATACTGTTGGAATCTTGTGGTATAGGAAGTAATGAGTTGGTAGACTTAGAAAAATATGGTCAGGTGGAGCCAAGATGGTGGGTCAGGCAGAACCAAGATGGCAAAGTGAAAGCAGTGACTTGCTTGAGCTTTCCCCCAAACCTCTCCAAATACCTATAAAAAATGGTTCTAAACAAATTCAAAAGCAGCAGAACCCACAAAAAGACAGAATGAAGCAAATTTCCAGCCCAAGACAATCTGGATGATTGATTGGAAAGGTATATCGTGCCAGGCAGACAGAGGAGCATGGTGTGGCGTGGGTATGCAGGCCACAGAAAACCTGGAGCAGGCGTCAGAGGACTAAATCGCGGGCAGCTGTGGTGGTTTACAGACTTCTCAACCCACCAACGCCAAAGACAACTTAGAATGTCAGTGGGAAAAGTCTGCTTCTGGGGTGAGAGAGGAGCTAGGTCTCAGAGCCAGTTCCAGAGCACAGAGCACAGAGCACAGAGGGCAGGCCCCGGGGTGTTGGCTGTGTCCTGAGCTTCTGGCCGACAGGCTGAGGGGAATTGAGTGGCTGATCAGTGGGGGATTGCAAGGATCTCTTTGCCAGTTCTGAGGCAAGAATTTCTTGCTTTGCCCATGCTTTGATCTGGGTCACAGTTCTGGACGGCAGTCCTGGGGTGAGGAGAAGCACTGGCATGATGGAGCTTGTAGTGGCTGTGGAGAAGAAACCTTCCTCACAATTCCAGGACAAAAAGGAATGCTTGTGGTCACTTATAGACCAGAGCACAGGCCAGGAAAGGAGTAAACATCTCGCCCCTTATCATACCACCTTGCAAGAACTGAAAATTTACAGGTCCCTACAAGTATCTCTGAAAACAGCTGTACAAACCCCCGAAGCTTGGGACAGTACATTCTCTGCATTGGAAGCAGACTCTTACCTTAACAAAGATTTTAAAACTCAAGTAATTGGCTGGGATCATGAGCTAGCAGCACAAAAAGAGTCAGACTATATTATCTTACTTTGGTGACAAAGAATATCAAAACATACAACCAGAAGAAGACAACAAAGGCAAAGCTCCTACATCCAAAGCCTCCAATAAAAATAGGAATCAGTCTCAGGCCTTGGAAGAGCTCAAAAGGGATTTTGAGAACCAAGTAAAAGAAGTAGAGGAAAAACTGGGAAGAGAAAAAGAGAGTGATGCAAGAAAATCATGAAAAACAAGTCAATAGCAGGCTAAAGGAGACCCCAAAAAATACTGAAGAAAATAACACCTTAAAAAATAGCCTAACCCAAATGGCAAAAGAGGTCCAAAAAGCCAATGAGGAAAGAATGCCCTAAAAAGAAAAATTGGCCAAATGGAAAAGGAAGTCCAAAAGATTACTGAAGAAAATACTTCCTTAAAAATTAGAATAGAGCAATTGGAAGCTAGTGACTTTATGAGAAATCAAGACACTGTAAAACAAATCCAAAAGAATGAAAAATAGAAAGAATGTGAAATATCTCATTGGAAAAACAACTGACCTGGAAAATAGATCCAGGAGAGAGAATTTAAAAATTATTGGACTATCTGAAAGCCATGATCAAAAAAAGAGCCTAGACATCATCTTTCAAGAAATTATCAAGGAAAACTGCCCTGATATTTTAGAACCAGAGGGCAAAATAGAAATTGAAAGAATCCATTGATCTCCTCCTGAAAGAGATCCCCAAAGGAAAACTCCTAGGAATATTGTAGCCAAATTCCAGAGTTCCCAGGTCAAGGAGAAAATATTACAAGCAGCCAGAAAGAAACAATTCAAGTACTGTGGAAACACAATCAGGATAACAAAAGATTTAGCAGCTTCTACATTAAAGGACCACAGGGCATGGAATATAATATTCCGGAGGGCAAAGGAGATAGGATTACAACCAAGAATCACCTACCCAGCAAAACTGAGTATAATCCTTCAGGGGAAAAAATGGTCATTCAGTGAAATAGAGGACTTTCAAGCATTCTTGATGAAAAGACCAGAGCTGAATAGAAAATTTGACTTTCAAATACAAGACTCAAGTGGAACATGAAGAGGTAAACAGGAAAGAGAAATCATAAGAGACTTATTAAAGTTGAACTATTTACATTCCTGCATGGAAAGATGATATTTATAACTCATGAGACCTTTGTTAGTATTAGGGTAATTGGAGGGGAAAAAATTATATGTATGTATATAGACAGACAGATAGATAGATAGATAGATAGATAGATAGATAGATAGATAGATAGAGGGCACAGGGTGAGTTGAAAATTAAGGGGTCATATCTGGAGAATAAAATTAAGGGATGAGAGAGGATTATACTAAGAGAAGAAGAAAGGGAGAGGTAGAATGAGATAAATTATCTCACAAAAAAACAGAAAAGAAAAGGCTCTTAAAGGGGAGGGGAAATGGGGAAGGTGAGAGGGAATGAGTGAATCTTATTCTCATAGGATTTGGCTTAAGGAGGGAATGACATACACATTTAATTGGGCATGGAAATCTGTCTTACTATAGGAAAATAGGGGGAAGGGGACAAGAGAGCAGGGGGATAATAGAGAGGAGGGCAGATTGGGAAAGGGGTAATCAGAAGCAAATACTTCTGAGGAGAGACAGGGTCAAAAGAAAGAATAGAATAAATGGGAGGGCAGGATAGGATTAAGGGAAATAGAGTTAGTTTTTCTCAACATGTCTACTATGGAAGTGTTTTGCATAACTGCACATGTATAACCTATATTGAGTTGCTTGCCTTTTCAATGAGGGTGGGTGGGGAGGGAGGAAGGGAGAAAATTTGGAACCCAAAATTTTAAAAACACATTTAAAAAAATGTTTCCACATGCAACTGGGAAATAAGAAATACAGGAAATGGGGTACAGAAGTCTATCCTGCCCTACAGGAGAATAGAAGGGGAAGGGGATAAGAGAAGTGGGGGAGAGATAGAAGAGAGGGCAGACTAGGGGAAGGGGTATTCAGAATGCATGCCATTTTGGGGTGAGGGAGGGGCGAGATGGGGTGAAAATTTGGAACTCAAAATCTTGTGGAAGTAAATATTGAAAACTGAAAATAAATAAATTTATATTAAAAAAAGAAAAAAAGAAAATGCTGTTCAAAAAAAAAATTTTAAAAGTATGCTTCAAAAAAAAAGAAAAAAAGGAAAAAAAAAGAAAAATAAGGAAAGACTCAGACTTATGAAGGAAGAGTTTATCTACCCTCAGAGAAACAGAGGACAAATAAGTATAGTATAGTCTTACATGGTTGCATGTAAATATATATATGTCTGCACATGAGTATGATTATAGATATCTAAATGTATGTATGTGTATGTAAGTATGCACGTATCTGTATATATCTTTGTGTGTATGTGTGTATATATGTATGTGTGTGTATGTATATATATCTGTACTTAATTGTAGCCTTCTTAGGGGAGGGGGAGGAAGAAGGGGGGAAAAAAAAGAATAAAGTAAAAAGCACACAACTCTTTTTCCCTCTATGCTCTTCCACATGACTCTCAAATCTACATATTTAGCCCTAGACTCTTTCCCAAGCTAGTCCTGCATCATCACATGGACATTTCAGACTGTAAGTCTTGTAGGTATCTCAAACTCAACATGGCCAAAACTGAACTCATTATCTCTCCCCCAAAACTTAGCCCTCTTTTTGAACTGGATGGGGTAGCTAGGTAGCAAGATGGATAGAGCACTGGCCCTGGAGTCAGGAGGACCTGAGTTCAAATGTGGCTTCAGACACTTACTGGCTGTGTGACCCTGGGAAAATCACTTCACTCAGTTTGCCTCAGTTTCCTCATCTGTCAAATGAGCTGGAGAAGAAAATGCAAACACTCCAGTATCCTTGCCAAGAAAACCCTAAATGGAGTCACAAAGAGTTGGACACAACTGAAAATGACTCTGCAGTCAGTTCACTGCTCTGGCCCCTACCTCCCTGGCCTCTCTCCTCCCAACCTTCCAGGCGCTCATTACCATGGCTTCCCCTTGCTTAGAGTTAGAACACTCTCTCCTATAGCCTCTTCTCTAACAGTACCACCACCTTGGTGCAGGTCCTCATCGCCTTCTGGTTTGCCTCCCTGCTTCAAGTCTCTCCTCCCTCTTGTGCGTTTTCTTCTCTTCTATCCAAGTCATCTTCCTCAAGCACAAGCCTGACCGTGTCACTCTCCTAGTCAATCATCTCCAGAAACATGATCGCCAATTTATCCCATGTATCTTGTTTGTACATAGGTGTTTGCCAAGTTGTACCTGCCTCTCCACCTTAGAGTATGAAATTCTTGAGAGCAGGAACTGTCTTTTTCTGCATATCCCTAGTGGTGTCACTGGTCCTCTTCAAGAAGGAAGGGCGAACAACTTCCCCCAGCGGAATGGATGGATGAGAACAATTTGGTCCAGCGGTTATAAAGACAGCTAAGCACCATGGAATGCCTAGAGCTTGGTTAGACATTGAAGATGCCAAGCACAGTGCCCGGCACATAGTACGACCTTAATAAAAGCTCACTGACTTGACTTCTTTCCCCTTAACGTCTCTTGTATATGCCCCTCTCTCTCCAATAACGCCGCTGTCACCCTAATTCAGGC